ACACACACACACACACACACACACACACACACACACACACACACACACACACACACACACACACACACACACACCGTAACGTGACAATATGTGCATCTAATGCATTGTAAAATTTATTCACGCATGCATTTCTACAACGTTCGGCACCTGTCCCAACAGGTGCAGAGTGTTGTACAAATGCATTTGTCTTTTTGCCTTTGTAGTAATATTTGCTCTAAACTTAAAAAACTAATTGTGCCTTTGTACTTTTATTAGCAGGGCTTTTTWAATATTTCATAAGCTCAAATTTCACAATTCAGACCATTAAATAAAAACATCCAACATCTTCACCTTGCCTTCCTTGTGCAGACCAGTTTTTCCATGCAAAGGGAAGTTTTAGCATTCATCGCTAAATACGAGGGTGCATGTACATTCATTTTTCACAATGATTATGATTTCTAATAAATAAAAATAACTTTGTGAATCCTGAAGGAGGAGAAATAAGATGATTTCTTCTACTTATTTTATAGTTTGTTTTATGACACTGATGATGAATTTTGAGTTATTTGAGTTTTGACATGATGATTCTTTGACACAGAGATTTATCCCGACACAACATGTTCTTCTCAGCATTCATGACATCACTGTGCTGCTGAAAGGTGAAACGTTGCCCCGGTCCCATTTTGTCTGCAGTCTGGTGCTGCATTTATCCTCCCCCCAGTTATGTCTTTGCGGCTGAAAAGCATTCACACAACACAGAGCTTGCTTCCTTTAAGCGTCACTGTGGGAAGTGTATTAGCCAGATAATGAGCTCTGTGTGGCTTTCAACAGATACCGTGTTTAAAGTTTTACCCACCAGGGTTAGTTTTTTGTGAACTACAACAAAAAAATCCTTGGGTTCCTCATTTTTTAACCATGACTGATGTTTTTTCTWCTTTGCCACAGCCAGGTAGACTTTAATTCCAGACACATTTAAAGGAATACTCATTTTATTTGGTTTGTGTCTAATAGTAGACATTTTCATTCATTGTTTTTATCGTAACGTGTATTTCTGCTGCAACTCATCACTTTTTGCCTGAAGTTTCTTTTCAGTCCTTTATTTTTAAGCTCCATCTCTTTTGCTGATTGGTCAGGTGGTAAAAGACAGCACACCTGCTCCTTTCCAGAAGCATTCACCTTAAAAATAGAAGCCGGTACACATAAATGCAGGTATTCTGACAAAAGCTCAATTTTCTAAGCAATTGTTATTCCCTAAAATGAAGTATTTTTGACTCCTGCTGGAGGACTTTAACTATTCTGACTGTGATGACTATATGATGACTGGAAAGCCAAAGTTTATGGGTGGTGATGTAAAAACATCTGTGTTCTTTGAATTGCACCATTACCTTCCTTGTATATGTAGTAATGACTTTTAGACCTAATGTTTTGAATTCTGTTCAGCTGTTTATGTAATTATTGCCATTTTCCAACAAATGTCATCTCAGGGTCACTAAGGAACAARTCCAAATCATACCAAATGAAATGGAGTTCAGTTCAGTACAAAACAGATTCAAAATCAAATTCATTTATAAACAGTTAATTCAATCCACTGCAATTCTGCTCAGTACGTTATAAAAAGGAAAATACGAAAACATTTGTTTATCAAACAAAATGGGCAGATTGCACCAAACCTTTGCCTTGATTTAGTCTATCATCCTGAGCAAAGCATGGAGCAGCAAGTAACTGTGGAGAGGAATGGCTTCCTTTTAACAGGAAAAATCCTCCAACAGAACCAGCCTCAGGATGGGCAGAACATCTGTCCTGATAGCACAGAGACAAACACAAAAGTCATTTCTGTGTAACCATATATACGTGTACTAGGTCTAGGCAAGTAACCAAAACATTTCACTTCAACTTTATTTATTTTTTTAGAAAATTAGGTATGTAAACACTCAGCATCTATGAGGGCACAACAACCAATACCGTCCTGCTAAATCACTGCAATGATACAGCATAAAACACAGCTTACTGACTAACTAATTGCAGGTGCACTTAAAATATCACAACTAAATAAAATATATAATGTATCATAATGGTGCATATGTGCATGTAAAATATCCAGATCACCTAAAGAAGATGTAACTAAATGTGTGCATATTAGCTTGATCCCACAAAAACTAAAATGTTAGCAAATGTTAAACACAATAAAAAGACAAAAAATTGCCTATTTGTAGTGATAAATTCTATCACACACACACAAAGTCCACAAGAGGTTAATTTGTATGGAAGACCTATAACCAGATGTGWTGCCATAGCAACAAGGAGCTAGAGATACTGCAGATCTATCTTATTACCGGTGATATCATGCACACAATCATGCAGGCATGTGCAAAAGCACAGACATGAGGGGATACAAACACAAACAGACACATGCTATCAGGTCGTGAAGCAAAGCTGCAGTCCCAATGGGACTGCCTGCACAGGGAATACGTTACAGGTGAGAGAGAGAGAGAGAGAGAGAGAGAGCAAACAGCAGCTCATTAGCTGATGCAGAGCAGAGCCACTCAACAACTGCTTTAAATCACACACCCTGAAATAGACACACAATTAGACCACGGGTCTCTAAATGGGGAAAAGTCAAACGGTATAACCCACAATGTACACAGGTTAAATCACCCGTCTCACAAAATAAAGACAATACTTTAGATACAGACATGCAAAGATGGCAGTTTTCAATTGTCTTCACATCAGACCGTGGTAATTTTTTTATGGTTGACTCTTTATCTTACAATCAAACTGACTGTGTGCAGTTAACCATTATGACTGAACTTGTATTGTGCAGCATGAAAAGGAAACTATGCACATTAAAAAAAACCTATGTATATTTAATTTAATGCAAAAAAAATCTACAAAGAACATTGAGCTGTAGTGATTAGTGTGGTCGTTCATGATTCACCAGGCAAACGTTATACTTTTGCATTTATCCCTGCTTTTTATTTGAAAGATCTCAGGTCTGCAGTTGAGCTCTATCWGTTCCTGTCTAGTTGGGGTTTTAGTATCTACAGTTTGTTTGTTTCACATAATAATCTCAGTCAGTTCAGATGTTATCAGTCCATTAAATGGACGTTATTAGCAGTTATCGGTCCCATAGAATGGCTTCAGACTGTCCCCACAGTGCCCCCTAGTGGGTTACCTGTGCCATATACATTGGAATGCAACAATCTGCTACCGCCGGAGTCCAGTCTACTTTATCGTAGCCCATGTCATTTTCTCTAAAATTAACCTTAGTGGCTTTATGCCTCATATGAACCAGATTGCATAAAAATCCTTAGTGGCTTTATGCCTCATACTAACCAGCTGACAGTCTGAAGCCATTCTATGGGACTGATAATGGCTAACGTCCATTTAATGGATGATAACATCTGAAGCGGGTGATAATCTTCAAAGATCCCTGATAATATTGCAGAGTTCTAATAACGCCAGCATTTATTATTGTGTGTATTTGTTTGTCTGTTAAGCTGACATCAAAATAATTCACAAACTATTGATTTTCATAAAGCTATGTGAGAGTAATCACTGCATGTGTTGTGTGTGTGGAAGTGTGCATGCCTGAAGTGTAAAGTGCCTTGGGGTCCATGTGGACTTGACAAGGCTCTATATAGGTTCAAGCCATTTACCTTTAACCATGTGTATCTACACTCATTGACTTTTGGAGGCCATCAGAGCTGATAAACTTCAGAAAAGAGACACATAAAAGCTTTAACTCAGTCTGCTTTGCATATGTGAAGTTATAATTTAAAATTCAATATTATGGCACTATCATTTAGCACTTATTTAACCACATGTTGTAGTCTTAACAGTGTACTAGTAAGCGTTAAGTAAGAGGTTAATTCATTTAGTTCTCTTTAAAACATGTTCATTTTCCAGGCATCAATGAAGGTTTTGAAAAAATGCATTTATTTGAATTCTTTTAAGATGCTAATAAGTCTAACAAGTTTTTGTGCAAAGCACACAATTCAAGAGATCAAATTATGAAAAGAAAAAAACAGATGCATTAAGTAAACCAATGCATTATTAAAAAGCACGTACAAAAAATATATATTCAAAAAGTAATTTTGTTGTTCATAACTAGTCAGGAGCAAAGAACACCTTAAATTGTTCCATATACAGCGGGTGAAATAAACATTGAACACGTTACCATTTTTCTCAATAAATATATTACTAGAGGTGCTAATGACATGAAATTTTCACCAGATGTTGGTAACAACCCAAGTGATCCATACRTACAAAGAAATCAAACCATAAATGTCCAGAAATGAAGTTATTTGTAATAATGTGGAA